GGCAGATTATATTACCTTTCAGCAAATATTCACTCAGTCCCCGTGACCTCCCTGAGAAGAGCATCCTTTCCTGTCCCATTGATTTTGGATTTGGAAGGCAGCAGAAGTAGAGGCGTGCCAATTCCAAGCAGAGGCTTGCCTCTCAGGGAACTTCTGACCTTGGCCACAAGGACATATGCCCTTGGGTAGCCCAGGTCTCATAAGAAGGAGAGACACAGGGGACAAGCTGTTCTGGCTGACCTTCCAACTTGCAGCCTATTGCAGGGCCACCCCAGCTGACCTGGAGATACACAAGAGAGAATGTGTATTATTGTATGTCCCTGCGATGATTTTGTGGTTGTTTGTTTAGCAGTAATAGCAATGAGTGACTAATCTACCTGGCTTATGAAATGTTAAAGTTGGTTGAGAAGCTTCTGAGAGAGAGTTTTCCTCTCTGACAAGAGAAAGGGGCATGAAAATAAACTCTCGGCTTAGTGCCACATCTTGACTTTGATTGAAATAGTCAGCTTATGACCACGAGGAGAAGGCCAAGAGAATCACAGACCCCCGCCCAGAACCACTGACCCAATACCACTATCATCTTGCTTCACTTCTTGTAAAGTGACAAGAATAAATTGTATTTGTTTAAACCACAATTTGTTTGGAATCTCTGCTAGCTGCAGCTGGATGTCACCTACATGCTGCAGCTGAATGTCACCTACATGGTCATATCAGCATTGAAACCTAGCAGGACTTAACCCTAAGATTTTAGTTTTTATAACATAAGCTAACGTACTTGACAATGCCAAGAATTATTTCTGATTTGAGAGCAGATGTTAGATATTATGTTGTTATTTGTGATTTCACTGGCTCACTCAGCTGGCACTCCCTGTGAATTCATCATATACCCAAGCTTTTTGGATGTCTTTCCAGGAAACCGTATTCCCCATGACTATGCTGATGGGTACGGCGCTTCATTCCCTGACCTAGAACCTCCCTTGAAAGATTCCATGTGTAGCAGAAGTTGCTTCTTGAACCTTTTTGACTCAGTCATCTTCCCTGGGTTCTCATGACCCTCCCTGTCTCTTTACACATCTGGGCCAAAGAAATATAAAGTAAGGTTTCTAGGCAAAAGAAAAGAGAAGGTGAGATAAGCTTTTTTCATCGATTCATTCTGAACAGCAGCGATGCTGAAGAGAGAATGTCTGCGTTTGGGTCCCAGTCCCACTACTTCCCAGCTGTGGGACTCTGGTAGGTTTTTGGACCTATTTTTGCCTCCATTTTCTCATAGGCTGAACAGAGACAGTCACAGTACATACCGCATCGTATTGTTCAAGTGGCTTTGCTAATCCATTGACTGGTGGTAGATGGTATTTTTATTCAACTCCCTTTTTAAAAAATGAGAACACATATGGAGAGTGTTTTCATGGGCAAGGACCCAAGCTTCCCACTTATATCTTCTGTGGATTCAGAAATGCCTGGACAGCTTTGAGGACTGATGGAGCTGGCCTGCTAGACACCCATTTGCATGGAGCGTTATTAGAAAGTCCATGACTTGGTATTACAAGATTAATATCCGGCTTCAGAATTATGACCATTAGTCTCTGTGAAACTGAAGCCTTCCCTTATTCAACCAAGCAGTATTCCAGATGGGAATGGAACGTACCCCAAGGACAGAAAGAATAAAGATATATGAATTGTGTCTGTGGATAATGGCTGGATAGGAAGGATAATTTTTTATTATAGCAGTGGCTGTGTTACATGAATTTCCTTTTAGTTCCAGAGACCATAGGGAGAAATCACAGACTTCAGAAAGCCATGGGTTTGGGTCCTAGGTCTATTATATAATAGCTATGCATAGGATCTGTTTTTAGAGGATCGTTCTTAATTCCTAAAAGACTTTTTTTTTGGTGTAAATTATTACAGCTGTTGTTTTTTTTAAACTGTAGTTTTACAACTGGCCTCAAGCCTAGGGTTGTCTGTGAACTCCCAGTGTATCTGTTCTAGTTCCTTTTGATATCTTACCTCTTTCTTTCATAGAGTTTATTTGGGATTATAGTCAAAATGAAATCTCTGAACATTTCCTCAAGTTATATCCCATTTTAGATTTTTTCCCCTGGACTTTTTGAAATCTATTTTTACAAAGTCATTAGCACATATATGAACACATCCAGCCTTTTCTTTTCTAATCATCACTGCTTCTAAGTGTCCAAAGTAGTTTCCACCCACTGACTGTGGCTCCTGGAGGTCAAACTGGGACTCTAAGTTTTCTCACTTCTGAGACCGGTGATCCCTAAAGTGTTGGTATATGTGAGAATTTGCATTTTGGGATCTTGGAGAAGTGGGAGTTTTCTGTGAAGAGATTGGAGGAAAAGAGAAAAAAGAAAAAAAAAAACAAAACAGGATACTAGAGGAATAATCAACCCAACCCCGCCAAACACGGCTGAGCCCAGTGGACTGTGTAGCCCTATGAGAAAGTGAAGTCCGACGATGACAGTGTAAAACTCTGAGTGACAACACTCAGGAGTCCAGGTGACAAACAGCAGCACCGAGTGGGAAGGGGACACTTCCTTCACTTGAGTAAGGCTCACTGATTCCCTCTGAGAGCCTGGGGTAGCGACGGGAGGATACCTGTGCCTGGCAGAGCCAACCCCGTGCAGAGTTCTGCAGCTAAGGAGATCCCAGAGAGGAGCAGGAGGGAAAGAACATGAGCAGAGAATTTCCTCCTGGGTTCATGGATGTACAAGCAAGGATTCATCTTCCACACGCGTAGCGATGCTCTGCCTCTGCTAGCAGATTGGATTCTTTGAATCAGGGTTTACCTCATCTTGGATTTCAATCATGGGTCCCATGAATGAGGTCTTACCTAGCTATTCTATGGAAACATTTTATTACCCATGTTTTAAATGTGCAGACATACCAATATCTTAAGCATTGCATTCCATTACTTTACCAAAGTTTCAACTGTGAAATAGCATGCATCTTTTCTACCAATAGTTAATACTATATTCTCCATACTAATAGTTAACATTATATCCTCCATTGTAATTAGATAATGGGTATTCCTATTCTTTTTTTTTTTTTTTGAGTCAGTTTTAATTTCTTTTGAAAAGCCTAGCTACTCTTTGGGGAAACAATGTCTTTGTCTGAAACTGATGATGTACATTGTTTCAACATTCTTAAATCTTAAGGTATTGCCCCAAAATGCACATCTCAGTCTTTGACACCAACTATAGAGCTAGTTAATTATCTTTTATTTTGGCTTTTCTCATAAAATTCCAAACTTTAGTGGTATTAGGTGAACAGCAATTGTATGTTTAAGTCCTTCAGCCTTCTGCCTGGCTTCCTACATACCAGATTTTTGTTGATGGTATCCCCATGTGTTGGGTAGTATCCATTATCTTTCAGCTTTGTACCTAACATTCTCTTTACCACAGTGGTGGGAAGACTACAAAATACATTTTGCAAAATTCTTTGCCAGCTGATGTCCAATGGGAAGGAGGAAATGGAAGCTTGGAGGAGAGGAGAAGTCATTTTCATAGTCTCTATTTGCACCTTGACAGTGGCAGCATCAGCAACCACATCAGCAACGGCAGGCTCGGGGCAGTGAGGTGGTGATTGCAAGTGTAACATCAGCACTTTGGGAAAGACTGCAGAAGCAAGGGTGGCTGGCGAGCAGAGGGTCTAGGGTGCTGCTCAGGCAGCGGCATCTCCGTGGAAGGCAGCCTCAGTGACACAGTGTTTGTGGACTCTGGGTAAAGTCATTTTTCCTTGTGGCTTCCAGCTCGAGGTGTGGTTCCATTAATAGTTGAATGTAATTGCCACTCTTTGGGTCAGCTCACCTTTCTTCTTTTGCTCCTCTAGCTCATTCCAATACTTTTATACCAAATTCCTCACCTTAAATTCCCTCTCTGTTGAACAAGTCGATCTGTTTCCATTTTCCTGACTGGGACAAATGCACGCTGTTATGAATCAGTATGTATGGGTAATGGTCAGTAGATGTGGTATGCCCCAGAAAGCATTTCAATGTATTCTGGAAAAACATTCAAGGAGACTCAATTGACAATGGCAACTCTTCACACAACTGTTCTCTATCTCTCAGTAGAGAATCACCAATCCTGCTGATCCAGTGAGCAGTTGTGTGGCATTCACTGGCATTTATAGACGCTTGTTTGTGCCGTGTTTATTTCCCGAAGGTCTGCATTTAAATTATTGAAAAAAATGCAAACTTTTTGTGTCTGTTGAGTCCTTTCTTTCTTCTTCAAGCTATACAATTCATAATTCTTGTCTCCCTATTTTTTTTCTTCTTATTAGCCTTCCAAGAATTTTGAATTTGTGGTTTTCTTTTGGTATTTCATCTTCTATTTTCTCTTAGAACTCTTCATCTTTGCAGATAAGCTGGAATTCAGAAGGAGGATTCTTAAGAAAGAGAGGAAGTCTGGAGTCATGATGCTAGCCTAGAGGAAGGGACGAGATTGCTGTCATGAGTCTGGTTAAAATATGAAGCTTATGCTGATGACGTCATGTGGGCAAGAATTTTGTGCCATAGGTTCATTATCATCATACATAGCCTCTATCCAAGATCACATATGGAATATAAGATACTTCCTCAAAAATTAAAAAAGAAACCTTATCTGGGTCTATGATATAATCCTATAGGTTACCACCATCCAATGCATTCCTATACCTCTACATTTAGGTTCCTTCATTATTCTGAGGAATGAGGATGGGGGTGACTTATTTCAAATCTGGGAAATAGTCATGTAATGGCCAGTTGTCCCAATAGATTACTTGACTTTTAATATTCAGTCTCTCTGTCTCCAGGGACTTTCCTTCCTTTGTCTGCATATAACACAGATATGACAGATTTAAAAGTTGACACTTGATTAGACACACAATTTGGTAGAAAAAAGATTAAACTGTGCAGCTGAATGTCATCCAGAAGCAGAAAAAGGCACGCGGCCAAATTCCCTCAGCTCTTTGTTTTATCACATGATGTTGCTTGGATATCAGCTTATCAACAGACTGAATTTCCACCCCCACCGCTGCAAGAAGAAAGAGGCCTTGCAAAGAAAGACACTGAATACGAATGCCATCTTTTAAAAAGAGGGGAACTACAATACAGGGTAAGCTCCTTGTAAGAAAACCTGTCTTTCTGTTTCAGATATAAGTTATTTTGTAGATTTTTCTAACTGAATTCCCCAAGCATGTTGATCAAACTTTATCCAGCACAGACCACTTGAATAGGTAAGATGGATTTTCTCAGCAACAGCTCAAGAAAAGCACACATGAATTGTTGCCACAAGAAATATCATCAGTCATTTTCTTATGCGATTTAAGGAGATAAGAAATCTTTCCAGCTTTGACGGATATTTGTGCTCTGCTCTATAGATCTGGAAAATGGGAGGAAGGATACTGGGGCGATTTGAGTACAGTTTAGAGAATAGGCTTCTATCACAGAGAATATTGAGAGTATATCTTGGTTGGTATGGTTTCTGGAGTATTTGCGTTGGAGTACAACAGCATTAAATAAAATATTTACAGTTCAATTTATAAGTTCATATCATAGGCACAGGCTACACTGAGATGTTGACAGATGTTTTTCTAACACATTTTTCTTCTGGAAGATCTGAGCCTGAGCTCTGTGAACTCAGAGCCTGAGTTTTCTCACATGTTAAGAAACTTGTTATGTGTGTGTGTACGTGTGCATGAGCATATGATAGGGTAGAGGAGAGAGAGCAGGAGATGGCATAAAGTGGGAGCAGTCTCTATTTGGGATCTCAGTTAATCAGGCAGCCTGACGGGATAGGCTGCTGAGGCAAAGTTGTGCGCCGAGGGGAGAACGCTCCGCATTTCCGTTTTGTGCCTCGGCAACCCTACTCCAATATCTAGTCTTCCTTGGATGCTAATTTTCTAATTATTATACACACCTCAGGTTTAATAGTTTCTCTTATAGTACAATTTTGTAAAATTGCAAATCTGAATGTGCAAGAAATGATGTAAAGTTATACTATGCTGCCACTAGAAATCATATTTCAAAGGCTATTTAATGAGCTGGGAACATGAACAACATGTAGAGTATGACCCCCCCCCTAAAGTTGCACACAATGTACACAGAAAAAAATAATATAAGGAAATCAATCAAATGCTAACAATAGTTATGGACCGTGAAATTATGGGTGATCTTATTGTCTTCAATTTAAAAATATTTCTGACTTTTCCTTAATGACATATTTTGCTTTTCAAGTCGGAAAATAAATATTATTTAAAATTATCAAGCAATAACTGCTGTGACACAGTACAGCTCTACAACCCACCTGTTACCAACACAGAGTGAAACGGAGCGAGACAAAGGACTCTGAATTATTCTTCCCATGAAAAAGGGATGAGAAGAGGGAAAGTGCAGGGCTCAGCAGTCTGGCGAGGCCCAATTACCTGGACACATGTGAGACAATTTCTTACCCCTGGAAATAAATAACATTTATCTATTTGTTTATGTATTTACTTGCTTACTTATTTACTCAGGTACCTCCCTAAAACGGGCTGAACAAAATGAAATTTTATGCTCTGCTTTGTTGTTCCTTGGAGATACAGGATAAACAATGGGAAGGAAATGGAAAAGACAGCAAAAGCTTCAGAATGTTCCGCAGGTTCCTCTCATCCGAGTCCCTCCCTCTGCCTCTGACACCTCATTTCTGAAGGTACAGCAGCACATTATGCACCGACGAAGAGACCTTGTCTGTCCCTCCTTCAAGGCTTGAAGACTTCTCGTGCCTTTGTTTACCCAGCATTAGGGAGAACAGTGCGCCCAACGTCAGCCCTCCGTGCTGCTGGCAGCACGTGTCAGAGAATAAATGAGCTTGGATGACCCCCTCCTACACCAAGCCCATTTCAGGAGCTCCAGGAGAGGGTCACGTCTTCCAGGTGACCCACTGCCAGAGATGGGAAAACACTGACGGACCACACTGTGGCTCCCTGCTAGAAAGCTATTTTAGCTCCTTTCAGTCAAAATTAGTTAAAGCCGTTCTCATAAATACTCTTTGTCAAAATTTCAGTTCTCTTCTGTCCCTCAAAGAGGAAGAAGCCGCAGGATAAGAATATTATTAGAAATGCTACTGTCATTTCTTTACTGTCATTATTTTACTGTCATTATTTGGGAAGGTGAAAATTCTAAGGAAAAGAAGTAGCCTTTTCCTTCTTATTAAATAAAACCGTAATTTTTAAGATTTTATTTTAGAGAATGCAAACTCCCATTGCATTTTGGAGCTTTGCTCTTGAAATTGGCTTGTAATTTTCATAGTATATTGTTCTCAATCTTTTAAAAAGGCTTAATTAGAAATCCATTGTTTCTTCAAATACATTATCTTTTAAAACATCTAATTCAGAAACTGTAAAGCTGAAATGATGTCTTGAAGTGTGAAGTACTTGGCGCTTTTACTCTGGATATACTTTTCATGTTAAGTTTAAGGTCTTGATCTCAAAAAAAAAAAAAAATCCGACTCAGATATTTCAACTCCACACAAAATTTCTAACAGGTAAAAGTCATGTTACTTTTATAAATAATTATTTTAAATTTAGTTTTTATTACTGTGGTTATCAATGAATTTTTAAAATTCTGTCATTGTTTTAAACTTTTTTTGCCTGAGGTGAACTTATTTTATCTTGATTTTTCTAGAATGTTGCTGCCACTACCGGTTTACCCACCTGCATATAATAAGCACTTAACATACATTAGGTATATAACAGCAACTGAAGCCCAGGTCCTGCTTGTCCTCCCTAGCACTAGATGGCAGCCTTCTAAATAGTCTCCCCACCCATGGTCTCTCTTCCTTAAAGCCCATTCTCCACAGCAAGGTCAGAGCGATCTTTCTAAAATGCAAATCTGGTCAGCTTAAGGTGTGACAGTTTGGGCTGGATAATTCTTCATTGCCAAGGCTGGAGGCTGTCTCGCTGTAAAATGTTCAGCAGCACGCCGGGCCTCCACCCACTGGATACTGGGAGCATCTCTCCTCCCTCTTACCATTTGTGATGACCAAACATTTCTCCAGACATTGCCAAATGTCTCTTCAGGGTCAAAATCAGTCCTGTTGAGAGCCACTGCCTTAAAGACCTTCAGTAGCTCCTCATAGAAGAGGTAATCTTTAAATTCCTATCACAGCATGAGAGGCTTCCATGACCTTTCCCTGCCTAACTCTACAGCCTTCTCTAGCTTAGGTTCCATGTTCTGGTTGAAGTAAAGAAAAAGTCTGCTTCCCAATATACCCAGATATTGTATGCCCCATATGAAAATTTGCACCATTTTCTCCCTCTAATTATCCCTCATGTTTCTTCTAATCCAGTGGTTCTCGAATGTTAGTGTTCATTCAGAATTACCCAGAGGGCTTGTGCAAGCCCAGCGTGCAGGGCCCCAACCCCAGAGTTTCTGCTTCTAAGGTCTGGGGCGGGGCCTGAGCACTTGCCTTTCAAACAAGTTACCAGATGACGCTGATGCCCTTTGGGAACCAGGATTCTAGTTCCGTTAGGGATTTCCTCTTCACCCTAGAGCTTCAGGTGTGTTGATCATGTCATTTAGGAAGCTTCCTTGGCTTCTGTGTTCATGACACCTTTTCCTAATGATGTCGAACCCTTTTCACATTACCCATCTATTTACCCCCCTCCCTCCCTGCTTCCTGACAACTCTCAGCGCAAAGTCCTCATTTACCCATCCAGAGACCTGGCATACTTCAGGCCCCATGTAGGTTCTCACCGCCTGCCTTCCTCTGCAAGGACTATAACAGATCAATAAAAACTAAAAACACCTTGGACCTCCCTCAGCCCGATAGTTTGACCTATGTACCGTACCTACAATCTTTTGCTTACCCATTTTCACCTTCACAAAAGCCAGCAGAAGGTTGTTTAAGTAAACTAAGGGGGGAAACTATCCAATTGTTGTTTTCCAGTTGATATATATATATATATATATATATATATATATATATATATATATATAGAGAGAGAGAGAGAGAGAGAGAGAGAGAGAGAGAGAGAGAGAGAGAGAAAGTGGGGGGCGGGAAGAGAAGCATCTTTTTTCTGAGGAAGTCGGCTCGGAATACGTCACACTCCTAATTCTGTGTAACCCCACCCATCATCAACATGGCCTGCTCTGCTCCCGCAGGACCTAACCCGAGGGCAGCAGCGCTACTTTTACTGCATCATGAGGATTTATGACTCCAGGCCCCAGTGGCAGGCCCTGCAGACCCGCTATGTTCACAGCCTCCAGCACCAGCAGCTGCTTGGTGAGTGTAGCTACCGAACCCGGACCAAGCACCTCGGGACTGCACGGCTGCACTGCAGCCGGAAGCCAAGCTTCCTCGTGAATAATTGAAGTAGAACGGCTTCTGCCGGCGTGCTATTTTATCAATGTGGTTGGCAGGCTCAGTTTTAAAATGATTATCCCTGACAATAGAAAGCAGAGTTTTATGGATAAATTAAGAGGGTTTAAAGAAGTTGGAGGATGGATCGTTATAAAGTGTCAACACACCTCTGAGACTTACAGGAACTTGATCGAGTAGAAACAGCAATGGCCTTAGGCAGATGGTCTGGACTCAAATGGCAGCTGGCTGTGCAAACTCAGAGTTTGGTTTACTCACAACAGGCATAGTTACGTTGTTGAGCATTTACCATATTCCAGATATTGTGCTCAGAGCTCTACATGTTATGCCTCATTTTCTCCCAGCTTTATGGTCTGGGAAACTGCAGCTCAGGCAGGTTATATAACTCCGTCAAGATCACACCGATAGTAAATGTCAGGACCATCACCAACAAAGATCACGCATTTTCACCTCCACACTCCACTGTCTCTACTCTTCTCCAACCTCGTGAGATTTTATGAAGCACAAATGAAATAATGGTTTTGAAAGACCTTCATTAATCATAAGCAACACCCTACAGAAAGGTGTAATGGGTGTTGAACCCCTTTTCTTCTTGAAATGTTTTCAGTCTTCAGCTCCCCTTTATTACATTCTTCTCCTAACTCCCACCGAGCTCTATTTATTACTGTTTTTTTGTATACCACTCACGTAGCATTAGCACATCTACCTGACATTGTTCCTGTATTTGCACAAAAGGAAAACATGGTTTTTGCAAGTTAAATTGTAAGAAGAACAATTAACAGTAGCTTTCTTGTATTAGGGTTTTCTATGTGCCAGCTACCATTCTAAGCACTTTGCTTGCATTGTCTTATTTAAAACTCAAGCACGTCTACGTGGTAGGTGCCTCTATAACCCACATTGTACAGAAGAGAAAATTGAGACATGGGTAAGTTAAATAACTTGACCAGGGTCATGTAACTAGCAAATGGCAGAGTCAGGATTCAGCTGGTCCCCATAATTGTCGGAAGTGTCCCAGAAGCATCCTCTCATAGCTTTTTTAAAGAGTAAAATTGCTTTGAAGTCAATGAACCTAGAAGCAGAATATTCAATGTTTATTGCACTTAAAATCCATCTGTGTATGTTATTAAAATGCAGATTTCCAAGCGTAATGCTCTGAGTTTCTGATTCAAAAGGACTTTGGAGTAGAGCCAGAAATCTGCATTTTTGAAAAGCGTTATTAAATGTGGTCTCAGTTTCATGATTCTGTAGGTGATCTGCAGACTGCCCTTTAAAAACACAGAGAGAAAAAATGAAAAATAAAAACACAGAGAGATTGAATATATCTGTTTCTGGTTTGCAGAAAGTTTTGATACTCAAGATAAGCAATTCACATGAAGATTCTTTATGGCTTATGCCCCTCTACAAACGCTCTGTCATGATAACCAATGACTATGTATTTATTTATTTATTGAATGAGAAATGCAAAAGACGAAGAATATATTTCCTGTCCTCAAAGACAATATAGTCTGGGTGTGCTAAACACAATTGTTTCTATCCAGCAAAGTAGAAGAAAATTTTTGACTGTGTGCATAATTTGCTGTCTTGTTTGCTTACTTTCTTTGGTAAAATTGTTGACCTTGAAGTTTCTCTCATTTCTTTCCCCTAGGCTATATTACTCAACAGGAGGCCTTGGCTTGTGCCGCTGTTCTTAGAGACTCAACCAGGAAAGCCTCAGCCAAGAAAGCTCCTCAAAGAATCATCCCCCAGAGGACTTCGGCCATGACAAGAACATGGATGCCAGCCTACTCTGTATCTGTGGTTCCGCTCAGGGCCCAAAGTGCAGCGCTCTGATCCCTCAGGAGCCAAGACTTCTCATGAGCTCTGAAACAGGCAGTTTGTTCATGTACCCCTGGCTTAGTGTATATTTGTTGAATGAGAATGAATAATAATAATAATAATAAAAACCTTCTAATACAAACCCCACAACTAGAAATAATCTTTCTCCCATGCACATAAATTTTACCAGCAAGAACAAGTTGAGAGGTTTAAGAGCCACGGAGCTAAGAGTAAATAAACCTTTCATTCTTCATATAGTCTATAGAGTAAAATGACTTTTGAAACTTTCAAAGTAAAAACTTCCTTTGAATTAGAACCTCCCAGAGAAGTCCCAAGAACAGAGAAAGAGGACAAGTCATCAGACGGTGTTAGGTCCCCTATCATTGGGTGACTAGCCATTCCCCGAAAGCCACCCACTGCACCTATTGAAAATACGCAAACCAACACAGTTAACATTTAACAAGAAGGGCTTCCAGGCCATATCAGCTGCAACCAGATGGCATTTCTATGTCTCACTTCTTCTCTTCTTTCACATCAAGCAATGGCAGTCAACTTGGCCTCAAATCTTCTATTTTTTGCCTGGCTCAATCCCTTTGCATTATCTTGAAGCTTGGACTTACCAACCTGCTACATCTGGGTTCATTCTACATAGCTGCCATTCACCTTGACACACATAAGGGAATTCATGCACACATCTTCTCCTGGCTGCTGAAGATACCCTCTCAGCAGAAGAAAAAATAGCCCCAAAGAACTAATCTCAAGTCTAATTTTTCCATGGCCTTGATGGTTTTAAGTAAACACACAGGACTATATGAATAAGCAAAAAATGAGGTAACAGTGAGTCAAATCATCATATCAAAGTTATAGTATTGTTATATTTAACAGTTATTTTCATCACTAGTGATTTTTTTGTGTGTTAAAAATTAGTCACCAGTGTTCATGCAAAGTCAAAATAAAAAATGTCTTTCTTCACCTTTTTTCTAAATGTTCAGACCTCTCCCCTCATTTAAATCAGCTAATGACTTTGTCATGCACATAAAAGGAGTTGCTTTAGATGGAATATAAACTTGCTTAACAAGAGGTATGGTAACATTGATCTGAAAGGAAGATGCTGCGACGTTACCAGAAGAAAAAAAAAACCCAAAAAACCCAATACTGCTTCTGCGATCCTCTGTGACTTTTCTTTGAGAGAAACAAGGGACATAGTTGTCCCACTTCAAGTCTGACAGGAAGACTTGGGAAAGCCAGCTGACCTCTCTGAGTCCATTCACTGAGTCACAAAGAGGCTTCCTGACATCTGTGTATTCTGGCCCTGACTCATATATTCTAAGTGGCTTTATAATTTAAGACAAAAACCATTATGCAGGCTTAAAAGAAGAAAACAAAGTCAAATGGCACTGGTGAGCTATGGGGTAGCCCTCTTAAGGAACAGATGTATGTGGCTTTTATCCCTTTAAACGTCTTGCATGCACTTTCTTCTTAGACTTTATTATTATTTTTTATGGGCACAGATATTCTCTGTGTAAACCTTAGCTAGTGATGTAGGATATCAAGGAGGCCACTTGTGACTCTGACCTGCTCTCCTCCATTACAAATCTCAGAAATACCTTTTCCCTGACAGAGGATTTAAAAGCTAATTGGCAGGTGAGTGTCACAGCCCATAAGGAAGACAAATAGATCTAAGTTGGTGCAGAAATTCCGTGTTGGCTCTCCCTTCAGAAAAGAAAATGCCTTTTCTCTTGGGCCCCACACCCAAAGCTTATGAAGAAAATGGTTGATTATGGTGCGAGCAGAAAGGTGCTCAAGGGCGAACACATTGAAAAAGATGATCAAAGGGGAACTGAGGACAACATATAACTTTTAGGCAAGTCTACTACTTTGACCTATTGGAGACTATGTGTTGCTTGCTCTCACAGTGTCAATAGATATCATCAGAACTTAAAGTTCTTGAGATCAGTGACCATTTCACCAGAAATTATTAGACCCTAGAGCAGCACTTGGTCTGGGGTAGGCAATCAGTAAAACTTCTTGAATAATAATGAAATGTTCAAAGACTCTGCAATTCAGCCTGGCCTGTGACTCTGTGATTTTATTCCAGGGTCCCAGGAAGCCACAATGACGAGTGAGGAGTAGCAGTAGTTTATCAAGGACAGGGGACAGGAGCAGTCCAATTCAGGAGCAGGCAATAGCAGGCATTGTCTGTAAAGAATTTTAAAACGATAATAAAGTTGACTAAAAGTTGGTTTGCTCTTCGTTATCACCGTGTGTTGGAAATCAATTCCCTGTCTGCCTCCACAGAACTTCCCTTCATTTTCCTCCACATTAGGGCTATCATACCATGCCAGTTACACAATGGGTTCAGTTAGGTCAGAAGCAGAGGAAATCCTTATAGCTATTGAAAATCTCAGCATAGGTGCAGGATCAGAGGCAATTATCCAGTTGTAACCGAGCCAAACATTCAAGACGGTACATGGTGTGAGTCCCACGCACCCCCTGGCTCATGGAGGGTGGTAGACCTGAGGGGAAATGACTACTTGTTCATAAACAGAGGCTTCTAGAGAAAGAAACATCCTCCTATAGAAATAATGTAATGAGTCCAGAAGGATGATGAAAATGACTTGACAAAGTATCATAGAAAGTCAGTGATGTTTCAAAAGCCCAAGTTTGTGTCAGAAACAGCATCACATCATTGTAAATATATTACTTATTTAAACACAACATGCTATTATAATATGTGCTGTATTGTGTATTTATGCAAATAAGAAAAGATCAGAGGTAAAGTCCCACAGGTCAGGGGCTTGATGCACATCTAAGATTGGGTGGAGAGAGCGGGGTTTGGGAGGAAGGGGAGGCTGCTGGTGGGTCAGGTGGTGTGTCAAAGGCAGGGAGTAGGTGTAAATGTGGATAGATTTCCAACGGACCGTCAGAGAGCTAAAAAAGCTGACGGGTAGGCCAAATGTGTTGTGACTGGGATGATGCAAATGTCAGTTAAGAAATGCATGAAATCTGACTAGGAGCAATTAAGATAAAAAGAATTAACATATAATCTATGTAAGTTAAATGACCTTAATTTGGGGAAGAGATACTCAGGTGTTAAAGTTCAAGCTGTCAGGTTCTTTTCTACAAAAAAGGAGAAGGGTATTGTGATTCTGCTTCCAGTTCTACTGTGTGGACATTTTCCTTACACCAAGCATTCCTGGACATTAGCTGGGTGTCTCACAAATTTAACTCAAGTTCTGACACTATCGGCTTAGAGTTAGCATCAGATTCCACAGTTTACAGCTGCAGTCCCAGGAGACTGCCTCCATTTCAATGCCAAGCACAAGCCCAGGTGGTGGTTACCTGTGCTTCTGACTGACTGGCTATAAATCAGAGGTTCCCAGCACTTCCTTTCTGGGTTCAATTAATTTGCTAGAGCAGCTAGCTCACAGAACTCAGCAAAACTGACTAGATTACTGATTTATTGTAAAAGGATAGAATCCAGGAACAGCCACATGGAAGCAAGGCATAGGGCAAGGTAATGTGGAAAGGGGCTCGAAGCACCATGTCCCCTTCAGATGTAACACTGGGCCTGCGTCTGCATGTGGTCACCACCCTGGATGCTCTCAGAACCCTGTGTTTTTGGGGGTTTTATGGAGGCCTCATTAAATAGGCATGATTGGTTAAATCACTGACCACTGGTGATTGCACTCCATCTGCAGCCCCTCTCCCCTCTTCCAGGGAGGTGGGGCAAGGGTGGTTGGGTCCACTGGCTCCTTAGGTGCTTTCCAAAAATCACCTCATTAACAAAACCACCGACACCTTTATGGCTCTTATCACAGAAAGTTCCAAGGGTTTGGGGAGCTCTGTGCCAGAACCAGGACTGAGACCAAATACATATTTCTTATTATACAATATCACAGGCCTACACAAAGAAGTCACTTTAGAATTTAGCACAATTCTTAAAATAACCTATGTAGTTGAATTAAGTAAATCATTTTTTAAAACCTTACGTATTATTTCAAAATTGTAATTTTACGATTACCTCACGGTGACAAGGAGCCCAGGAGGACAGCAGCTTGCTTCAAGTGGTCATTTGGGGAGTAGGAGGGCCAGCCTCACAGAGGTCAAGAGAAGAGGGGAATTGACAGGAGGAAGGGCTAACGCATGGAGGAGGAAGATGATTGCAGATGCCATCGCGGTTGCCAGCTATGAGCCTATTGGTGACCTTAGCAAAGCAGTGTCATTCAGGCCGCATGGCAGCAGTGGAACTGTAAGGGGTGCAAGCCTGTTATGAGAGAACGGGAAGTCGCAGAATGAACCCAGAGTTTCATGCAATGTCAAAGAGGCTTGGTCAGCATCCATTCATGTTTCCATATTTTTTTTCCATTCTACTCAACCTCCCTAGAAATTCTTATTTGAATTCCATTTTCTCCATTCACTTGTATTGAGTATTTCCACCACAATGAAAGGCATTTTCAAAATGCTGATACCAGCTAAATGTGTTAATGGAGTCTCATGATGGAATTCTACCAGGCAGAGCATATTGTTATTGCAATATATTTTATTACTCTATTAGTACACGTTATAAAATATGTACTTATGAACAATTACTACCAAGATTTGATATATCCAAGCCATTGATGTAGGAATTTGGAGCAAGAGTCATTTTTAGTAAAGAAATTGAGATGAGTAAAGGTGAAATTCAAGATTCTATAGCATGTGTGAAACGAAATGGTCCATTTTAAAGACTGGATATAACTATGCTACCACAGATACACTTTCATTTAGGACAAACCATTCCATTTATAACTGTTAAGAATACACTAAAGCTAGAGAATTAAAGTTAGATAAAAATCTCTTAAGAAAATGTGAACTGTTTCATCCACAAAGAACAGCAGAAAGCTTTTTTTTTTTTTAAGGAAAGCCTATTCTTTTTGACTAATGGTTTAAAATCTATGCTAATTTCAGTAAATGTAAGGGATAATTATAGTCAGTACTTTAAAATGAGAAAATGAATGATTTAAGATGCAGACTGTAGAAAAAAAATCTAGTTCCTGTAGAAATTATCAAAGCCAATGAAGATCTTGGGGAAGGGAAGAAGACAGCAAAAACTCGTGCAGAACCGAGAGATACAGGGACATTTTTGTATGGAGAGAGAGAGAAATCAATTAAAGCAGGAACCATGCTGTTTATTGTGATAAATCGTATTAACAGAATTCTTCTGAACAAAATATTCAATTGAAGAAAACGAGGGGGAGAAATCAATCAATCAGGGGTTTGATTGTCTGCCTTTGCTTTGGATTCAAGGAGGCAGGGCCATACATTCACGGCTAGGTCTGTGTCACTGCAAACAGACGCTTTGGCAGAGAGCACTGCGCTCAGCATTGTGTGTGAGCATGCCCACAGCGGTTCCACAGGACAAAATATTACCAAAGAGGAGGGAAGAAGGAAATCAGAGCTTCGCTCAAAGTGACATTCTAGTTTTTCTCAACGACAGCAAAAGGATTCAGTTCCCTCAAGCCAGAATCATATTGTTTCTTGTAGCTCATTCACCAGACATTTCCTGGGTGCCAGTGAGGAGGCAGGCCCAGTGGAGGGCGTTGAAGATTTTGTGTGGAGTGAAATGTCTTTACTCAGGCTGTTGTTGCCATTCACCTTATGTCCATGTGGCCCCGACTGCCTGATCATGGTGACTAAGCCCAAGGTGACTTTTTCCATAGGTGCTGGGGAATCGTGGCTATAGATTGCAGGTTCTGCTCTTCTGTGAGTTCTCAGTGAAGTCATATGCAGGAGCCCCTCTACCTGTGTGGAACTCAGTCCAGTGGGAGAGCAAAATGGGGTCCTACCAAGGAACAGAGGGGCCCACTTACAAATCCTTCTTCTGCCCTGACACAGGTTATTGTGGCTGTAGAGACATGACAGTTTTTTGGGGGGTTTTTTGTTTGTTTTTTTAAATCAGAACTAAGTATCACATGATCTTGCAAACATAATCTCATCAGCAGTATAAGTTCTACCTTTTCTCTTCACATCTCTTTTTAGTTAAGACACTTAGTGCAATAGTTGAGAGCACAATTAGGGGGTCTGAAAATCTGGGTGGAAGTCTAGATACATCACTTAACAGCTGTGTTACTGAATGTACAGGACTCCAGCTCTGTGTCTCAGTTTCCTCATCTACAAAATGGTGATAATAATGGTTCTTGCTATGTAGAGCTTTGAGAGAATTTTTACACAGTGTCTGACACTGTATGCATATGTTAATGTTAGCTAACTAACTTGGTTTCAAAAGGAGAATAATTGTGGTAATAACAACTAATACTCAATATTTTTAGTGTCTTACCATTTACTTGTTACATTTATATGTATTGTACTTAATTAATCATACGTAAGTTTGGTCAAATGAATTTGTTGAAGATAATTTTCCAGAAAAAAATTGTAATTACTATCAGTAGGTAAAATATCATCATCTCCTCTTTTTAATTCTTTTACATTTTGGAAAATATATGACAGAAGAAGAGCAAGTGATTGGATAAGGGGTAGAGGGGGCTCCAAACTGGAAACAACCCAAACGTCCATCAGTAATGAAATGGATAAGTAATTAGGGTTTATTAGGATATTAGGATATTAAACAGCAATAAAAATGAATAAATTATAGCATAAATTATAACACCATTGATGAATTATAAAAGTATAACACTGAGTGAAAGATATCAGTCAAAAATATACAAGGTATGGCAATTAAGTTTGCGAACTCATCCTAGAAAAAGTGCCACATACCTCATTGCTGAATATCACTACGGTCACCTTTGAAGTACTCCCCTTGGGGAGCTATGCATCAATGCCAGTGCGTAGCCCACCGTACAAAGCAATTTTGGTACTCTTTTTCTGGAATGGCCATCAGGGCTGTCATATTACCCTTGTGGCCCTGAATGTCATCAAAATGTCTTCCTTTCAATATTTCTTTTATCTTCGGGTAAAGAAAGAAGTCATTGGGGGCCAGATCAGGTGAGTAGAGAGGGTGTTCCAATACAGTTATTTGTTTCCTGGCTAAAAACTCCCTCACAAACAGTGCCATGTGAGCTGGTGCATTATCGTGATGCAAGAGCAATGAATTGTTGGTGAAAAGTTTGGGTTGTCTAACTTTTTCATGCAGCCTTTTCAGCACTTCCAAATGGTAAACTTGGTTAACTGTTTGTCCA